TTGAGATGATGCATTTTCTGCCAGTTTCCTCTTCCTGCTACAAAAGCACGCAATTACTGCGCTTCATTTTCAAAGAACGAAAGTATGAAAAGTCGTTCAGAGGAATGTTGAGAAAAAAAGCTTGTTCTGTGTTGAAAAGACCCCTGATTAATAGTAAAGACAACATGGCCAAGTTCAGAGGGCTTTACTGTGATTTCTCTTATCCCCTGAAAGAACAGGAAGCCCAACTAGAACAACCCGGTGACAGGGAGGCCACGATCTCTCCTCACAGCACAATTGAAACATAATTATTTCATGCCAGATTGTGTGCTCAGCAAAGCCCTGAATGGGTGCTGACATTTAACTTTAATTAGCTGTGATTTATTCATACTGACTAGATCGGAGGGAGAAATTGGATCATCTGATTATAGTCAAGCATGAAAATGCCCTGATTAAACACTTAATGGAACCTAGGGAGAGGAAACAAGAGGAACCTTGCGCAGAGGACACTCAGACAACATCCTAATGGAGGGAAGGGAGCTACTTTTACTTCATCATGGATGATCATTGATTAAGTAGACTTTTAGCACTCAGCAGCTAACACTATTGTTGTCGGTGCCGTGGAATAAAATGAAGCACTAGCTGAACACCTGAGGTGAACTTTCTCATCCAAGTCAAATGTTAATCCAACGTTTTGCTTTTATTTATTTTTGTCCTCAGGTGTGCCGGCGAATGAGAGTCCTGAATCTAAGACTTGTAGCTCAACCAAAGTTTCCGGACTCCAGCGCAGTCAGGAGCAAAGCATCGCTGAGGTGCCCTTTGCACCTCCCGTGCCCAGCCCCATCCCGGCTTCGGCACCTACGGGCTCCCCTGCACCGGCGGCGGCGGCGGCCCCCCCAGAGCCTCGTGGCTTACGCCTTCCCTCCCCTCCTCCTCTCAGTGTTAAGAAAGAGCAGAAACCGCCACCCCCAATCCCAACCCCACCCCTACTGAAGGCACCACCCCACCTCCAGCCTCTCCCTCCTCACCCACACCAGGAGCAGCGTGTTCTCCCGCCCCTATCGCACCACGCACGGCCAGTCCTCAGCCACCAGGTGCACCACCCTCTGCAGTACAACAGCCTCCACGACATCAGGTCAGTACACACATCCATCAAAGAATAACAAAGCACATCTGTGGAGAGAAGACCACACACACACACACACACACACACACACACACACACCTTGCTAGGAGCAGATTAAACATTTATGAGGAAATTCCCTATTTGCTTGTATTTCTATATTTTTCATAGATAGTGTTGTTTTGTGAGAATTATGGTCTTTTACTGATGCTGTTTCTCGTTTTAATCCACAGCCACAGCAGCAGCCCTGTGGGTCTTCCCAAACAGCACTTACCCCCGTCCCCCCACCACCACCTCAGTGGGCTCCCATCCTCAGCTCCTGCTTTGCCTCTGTCCATCGCTAATCTATCTACCTCGCACTATTCCTCCCTACGGAGCCCAGCCCATCGCCATTCGGCCATGTTTGCAACCCCAGCCACACTGCCGCCACCACCGACCTTACCAACCAACAGTCTAGTGGTGCCTGGACACCCCGCCGGCACCCCTTACCCAGGTGAAGCCGAGCACCCAGCACTCTTTCATTTCTTTATCAAACCTTTATCAACCAAACATCACATACTGTACATTCATGCTAAATAATAATCAAAATTTCTGAAGCTGAATTCGTTATTGAACACTGAATTTAACTAACTGTTAAGTCTTAACTTTGCTAAATAAACAACAGCACTGGGCTGCCCGAGGATGTGCCTGACTTTAAATCGCCTTCACTAAGGACAAATATTAGCCGATGTATAAAAAATGGTAAATATCGGCCCGATATACCGGCTGACTGATGTACCGGTCTACCCTTATTCCCGAACATCACAGCTTTTTAAAGTATGCACCGCCACTTAAAAATGTCCCGTTTCATCACCCCCAGCGAGGTCTCAACCCTAATGTTGACCCCCACTCATGTTCAGATGTGTCTGTGTAGCTCTAATTTATTATAGTTAGATGAAAATACATTTTATTTGCAAGACCAGCAAACAAATGATTAAAAATGTGACATCAGGCCAAAGAGATGATGTATGCTGGCCTTCTCCGGTAAGTGCGTGTTTTTGCTTTTCGCATTAATAGCTTTAGCAATAATGCATGTTTGCTTTTTTTTTCAGCAAAATTGAAACAAATGTTCTGTTTTTCTCTCCATCGCTATTCTAATGTTAAAAAAAAGTTATTTTTTTATTGTACAAGATCTCGTGGAACCAAATGCTGATTGTTGTTTGACTTGTGATGAGAACAAGCTTCACTCAGCTGGGGTTATGAACAGCTAAAAGCACTCTGACAGCGTCGATGCTGAGGCGTTTCGTGCTCTTCTCTGATGGTTAGCGCATCTCAGTGTTAGCAGCTCAGTCCTGTTTGTATGGTAGCTATTCCAACTTAAGACAACCTCATCAGTAATTTGAGACATTCCAAAGGAGCTCACAGATACGGTAATTAATTATGTTAAACCTATCAATAACTTTGGGCTGGGTGCAGCACTGATCTAATACATTCGTAGAAGTGGATAACGTTCCTAAGAGCACCAGGACAGGATTTGGATAGTGGAAAATGTCAGCTAATAACCGGACAGCCATCTGAAGCTGGAGACCTTCTTAAACTGGAATTCTCAATGAACTGAGATGTTTTCTCTTCCTAAAACCATCCTATGAGTTTACTAATATGCGCTAGAGAAAACAATCCAGACAAATTTTCTTCTGTTAAATGAGGAAAAGCAGCGTCTCCAGCGGTGATGGGTGTCTCCAACAAAGAAAACATGCTTTGACTTTCTAATCGAGGGCAAAAGTGTGTGTGTTTTCTGCTGGGATGACTCTTGGTTCTCTCTTGTCTTTAGATACCAGCCTGTTGATATCATTCAACCAACCAATCATGTATTGCCAGCCTCATTCGGGGATTCTGATTGGCACATTGTCACAGGCAACTCTCTTACCACCACCAATGAGTCCCCACGTAGAAAACCCTCACAGCATGAGCTGGAGAAACAGAGAATGCCAGGTGACTATTTTCTTTCTTCTACCTTTGTTGTGAAGACTGACTGGGCGCTCGTGCCTTTTCCCCCCCTATGCCTCGCCCCCCCTCCCTCCCCGACCCCTCCCTTCCTATCTTTTTTTTTTCCTCGCTCTCCTTTCTTGCAGAGCATGACCTCCTGAGGCAGGAGCTGAACAACCGCTTCCTGGTTCACAGTTCAGAGCGGGGCCGGGGGCCGTCCGCTTCGCCGCTGGCCCCAGTGTCACTCCTGAGGGCCGAGTTTCACCAACACCAGCACATGCACCAGCACCAACACACCCATCAGCACACCTTCACGCCCTTCCCCGCCAGTCTGCCCCCGGCTGCCATCCTCACCCCGCCCACCGCACCCCCCATGGTGCGTACCCAAGCCAGAAATGTGAGGATAAGTAAAAAAAAAGAGAAGCTCCCGTAACTTCCCACCAGCTCCCCACTCCAATCTCCTCTTCAATCAATCCCCCCCCCCCCCCCCTTTTTTTTCTCCTCAAAGTTACCAGTTAGAAAATAAACCCCTTCTTCTCACAAACGTTATTCACCCAGTTGGATGTTTTGGTTTTACTTTGTTTCCTTCCTACTGTCTTGCTAAAACATCACATCAGTAAAGAAAAGGGGCCCCCGATGACACCTTCCTTTAGCCAAGGCACAGATCACTGCCTTTTAGTCTTTCCAGGTCCAGTTGCCGCTCAGGTCACACACAAACACACATGGATGCTAACCTTTTCCTTCATAGCAGCTTCATTTGAAACGGCAGTACCCATCACGGCGTTTCTGCGTGCGTGCGTGCGTGTGTGTGTGTGTGTGTGTGCGTGTGTGTGTGTTATTGCATTTTGCAGGTTGTGTAATTATGTGCAGATTTTTCCAAACCCTAACCATTCTTAACAATTACAGCTCGAATTCAAAGCTCTGCACTCGGTCAAATGACTCCACTCCAGATAAAGGGGAATGACATCACTATAAAACTGTTTTGATAACGTCTCTAATTGCTTCCGAGCCCCGACTGCCATCCAGTCTGAGGAATGGGGGGCTGCATGGGGGTGGGGGGGTGCAACACTGGCAGCTCTCAGATTAGCACGGAGGAAAAAAGGTTATGACTGTTCATCCATCATTTTCAATGCACCACAATCTCTGGCAGTCTTTTCAGATGGGTCCCCATTTGTAGCTCTTAGGCATTAGTTTAATAGATCTAATCCATCATGTCATGACCTCTGATTAAGAGCCAGTGGTCCCATTAAGGCCCCTCACTAAGATTATTCCCATCCTGTACATTAAAAATCAAAGTGCTGGTATTTGCGGCGGCTGCAGATAAGTACAGAGACCGTTTAGATGGTTATTGAGCCAGCACACATGTGGCGGTCCGCTCTTCATTCCTCACATGGTCGGAATGATGTGAAACAGCTTTCTTTGAACTAATCCTGGCATCGTTTTACCCCTGAAACCTCCCCTAAACTGTTTGATGCTACATTTCTAAACATGTGAACGTCATCTACTGTTTTTGTTGTTATTACCTGACTTTTACCTTTCACTCCCTCTCTTTTCCCTTTGGTGTTCTGGTTTTTTTTCTTCTTGCTGTTTGCTTAGAGGAACACAAGTAATGATGATGTTGTTGTGCGTGTTATTTTTTAATGAAAAGGCAGCGCCGGCATTTCCCAGCTGTGCTTTTGCTCCTACTTTTATTTCTCCGGCTCTCTAGATGCCCCGTGTCATTTCAGCTATGTAACAGCCCTCGGCTAATGGTCATAATTAATGAAATTATGAAGCTTCTCGATTTGTTTATTGCTCTACGCCCTCAAGCAGCTGCTCTGCCAAATGGTAGCAGTGAATGGCCGCCTCCTTGCCCCTGTCTTGTCTTTAGACGAGGAATTTCTTAATTGTTATAAGATGAAATGTCATCTTTTAATTAGTCAAAGCTGTTTGCCATAAATCTGTGACAGCCGCTATAAATTACAAAGGCGAGCTTTGTTTGTTCCTCTTTTTTATAAGGCCATAAAGCGTTCAGGATCCTTCTTCTTGTGACTGACATTAAACAGGCCACGCCTTCACAAATGCAGAGAAGCTGTTTAATGAGCTCAGAAGATGGCTGGACTTCTTCTCTCAGTAGGTCGTCTGTTTTCGATGTAGGCCCCATTATCTCCCACAGAGAGGGCGGCCAGGACCGCTGCTGTCGTTCTGCTGCAGACGTGAAAGGCCCTGGGACACCAGAGGGCCTTTGACCCACACAGACGTGAATTCCAGCAGCAGCGTTGCCAAACCTGCACCCACTCTCCCCTTAACCACCCGTGTCACAGCATGCACGCTCCGAGAAAATCTGATTCATACCCATTCATTTTCCCATTTTATGTAAACCCAAAACATCTGCGTCTGCCAAGAGACGTTTGCGAAAACACTCACAAAAAGTACCTGTAAATGGTTTGTGTATTTTTGGAATAGGAATAAGTTACTGTTGCTTGTAATTAGCAATTTTCAAAATAGAGGACCAGTGTTGGCTTGCAAACAGACGTACAAGGTCCCTATTCATGTGCGGTGCAACGTTTTCTGTTCCGTCCTTCCCTGCTCGCCGGCTCAGCTTACTGAATACTTTCACATGTGTTGGGAGCGTGACGGGAAAGGCTTTTTCATTTACCACACAGTTTTAATCTTGACAAACACCAGATGAAATGATTCTAATAGACATAAGCTCTACCACAGGAGAGATCTTTCACTGTGGGAAGGTTGTCAGCTTCACGTTGGTTTGTCCTAAATTAGCCCCTAACCTCATTTCAGCTTCAGTCAAATGAGACTCTGTTTTCTCCTCCCGGTGTCTGCTTTTACTGGTCCGGATCGGCTTTTAGAGTCGCTCTGTGTGTCTGTGTCTTTGCTGAAGGGGTCTGATTGTTGTGATCTAACTGCTCGATGTTGTTTAATGAAGCCAGCCCTGGCTCTTCTCCCGGGGCTGGACGTTCTGAATCTAAACCTGTTCAGTTGTTTTAATTTTGTGTGAAATTATTATTACCGGATACTTTCCCTAATTCTTCTCTCTCTGCTCTCCACCAGTTCGACAAATACACCCCCAAACTGGACAATCCGTTCATCAGACATTCAAATGTGAGTTCATTTTGTCATTCCGATGTAAATGTGTTGTTTGCATTTGGTAAATCAAATATTTGGTATACTTGAGTGTTGCCTTGAGAGGATTTCTTGTGGCTGTGACTGTGTGTGAGCAGCACATGCTGGACTCCTCCATATGATTTACTTTTTTTCTCCCTTCCTCCTCTGCTCTCCCCAGTTCTTCCCCTCCTACCCCCCAACCATGCCAGGCATGCCCCCGCTGCTCCCTCACTCAGGACCCTTCAGCTCGCTGCAAGGAGCCTTTCAGCCCAAGGTCAGACCCACTTCCCCACCCACAGCCTACAGGCTGCAAACAGGCAGAGAACACACTGAAGCGTGTGCACCTAGTAAAACACACACATTCAGTAAAATTACTGAAGAAATGCTTGGTTTTACTGATAAAATACAACATTGTCCTTTAGTCAACAGTTCCCAGATGCCTCTGTCACAACGACAGGAAGTGTGAGAGTCACAAGCGGCCTTAAAAATTTGTAAAAGTTTAAGTTAAGAGAGAAATAAAACTGCAGTTTTTGTTTGTGGGTCTTTTTTATTTCATCAGCAGAAATAAAAACCTGCCTTATTTCTCATCAAAGCATAACCTTGGAGGCTATGTCCACAAATAAAAAGATAAAAGCAAAAAAGGACAAATATCGCTCTTAAGATCTTAGCAAATTTGCCAAGAACAATGGTTTGTTTTTCACATCCAGCTCACTCTAAAACCTCTAAAATATTAAAGATCGGACTTGATCCAGGGTCAGAGCTGAGTACTAAACCAATCCATGACGGGAAGAAAAAAATGTCTGTGTCTGCTTAAGAGGGGGGGGGGGGGGGGGTGATGGAGAGTACTAGCCTGTCTGGCAGATGCTGAAAGGCTGTGACCTGGAGTAGGACGCCAATCAAAGATGGCCTAAATCCGCTGGCCCTATTCCCAGTGGGTTCAGCCGCGGTGGGACCCTTCTGTCGAAGGTCGCTCCAGATGGTTCAAGGAAGGCTCGTGTGCATCCTAAGCCTCTGTCAAGTATCTTAGGAGATGAGCGTTAGAGGATCAAACTAAAGGGTCATGAAGGAAGGATAGAATCTGAAATCTATGCTGTGACCTGGTCTTACATCACTTTTACTCAAAATGGTAAACAACTACATTAGTTATTAATTCATGATGAAGTATGTTACGGTTAAAATGACAATAAAAACTGAAGTTTTGATGCTAAAGAAAAAGGTAGCCGCTGGGGGAAGTGGAGACGCAGGTAAATATAGAGACGCTGAAGGAGCCACTGGGACATGCAGGGACAGACATGAAGGACATGTAACAGGACAAAGATTTAACAGTGGATGAGGGAAACCAGGCAGTGTGTATTCAGTGAACTAATGAGAATTAAGCAAAAGTTAAAATTAAACATACAGCAAAATCAACACATTCTTCACAAACCCAGCATTTTCTGTTTCTGCGAGTTTTTATTGACTCTAGCCGTGTTTCTGTCCCTGCCAGGCTTCTAATCCCATCGATGTAGCGGCACGTCCAGGAGCAGTTCCTCACACGCTGCTGCAGAAGGATCCACGGGTAAGCATCTGCCTCCACTCTGCATGAATCCTGTGTAAAGGTTAAAACAGGGGTGTCCAAGCATCTCAAGGCGAGGGACAAAATCGTAAAATTAGTCCTCATGGGCCAAAAATTTTTTCATTTCTTTAAAAGATGTAAAAATTATTTCATGATGAGGTTTTTTTTCCTATGTGTACTCATCTAAATAGGCCCAAAATAGGTCTTATAGTAAATATCCGAACATAAAAATATTGTAAAGTATCAACAACCTGCTGGACAGACAGAGATGACAGAAGATCACCCTGAGGGCTGAAGTGGCCCTCGGCTGCATTGTGGAGTTAGCTGGGTTAAAATTACAGTCATAAGCTAATAGAAGTTTTATATATACGTCTTTTCAATGCATGCATTACATTTTTTGACAGTGAGAACGTGTGTTTTTACAGCCCGACTGTGTTGATTTTAATGATTACCTGTTGTCTGTTTAGATAAATGATCCATTCAGGACATCTGTGAGGGTAAGTAGATGCCTGATTGATTTTTGCAGTGCTTTTATCTCTCTGGCCAGGCCACAAAGTCCAAAAACCTCTAAAACACAATCAGGCAAATGCAGAGTCTGTCTGCATTAAGTTCAGATTTCAGGGTTCAAGTTGCCGATATTTTTAATCTGTTGGTGAAAATTCTTTCGAGTTGCCACTTTGTCGTCTGGCCAGAAAATCTCAACCCCCGAGTCTATTTTTAGTTCCCACATCAAAGCCAGCTGGCTAACTCCAGTTTCTCTCAAAATGTTTAGAAACCTGGCAAGTGGTGTGCAGTACATGTCCAGATTGCATGGCAGATCTACCACCACCAGCAGAAAATGAAGGTGCGTGAGATGAATGATCGTGTCTTTCTGGAGCCTGTTGTCATTGATTTTGGAATTACAACCAAAACAATCACAAATACATAAAAGTCTGATCTTGTTGGACCATATATGGCAGTCATGCCTCTGGTTTCATCCTAAAGTAGGATAGGGGTTGAAAGCAGCAGCAGGATGTAAAACTGCCTCCGTTTTTCCTTCAGGTGTATCCGTACAGGTTGTTTTAGAAAAGTCCAGTTTAGTTTTCCACTTTCAGAGCAAATATTGATTTCCTGCTAAGGGGGAGGTCATGAGTCACGTATTTAGATCCATGTTACACGATCATTGTTGCATTTGTTAAAATTGGAGATTAGGACCGCCCCCTAAGGGTACGGTGTGTCCTTGTTATGCTGCGATCCTGGTGGTGTCGGGCCTTCTTACACCCCATCATCAAGGACTACTTGTTTCTAATCAGTTACGTTGCAACACAGATAACTAAAACCAAAGATGTGCAGCCATTATTCATCTTATGGTCCTCTGAACTCGTTGCTAAAATACAAATGTTGCTAAAATGTATGCTTCACCCTCCCTCTTTTAATTACAGCAAATGCAGCTTGACCCCCATAAAATAGACATGAATGGGAAGCTGGACCTGTTCAGTCGACCCCCAGCCCCAGGAGTCTTCCCAGGATTCCCATATCCTCACGACCTGGCACGTCCTCTCTTTCCCTCCACAGGTCAGTTCCAGTTCCTCCCAGCACACACCTTCAACCAGCCCAGGAGTTGAATCCTTTCAAACACTCAAATGATCTCACTGCTAAATCATTTAATGCTGTATTTACCTTTATGCAAATAACCATAAAAAAAGACTGTAACGAAATGCTGTCGGTCTTTTCCTCTCACTTAATTATAGTGCTTTGCAGCAAATGTTTTGCCAGTAAAGGAAGTCAGATTTGCCCATGAATATGCATGACTCACAGTTAGGTAATTGACTGATTTGCCCTGCGTTGGAGGGCAACGGAAAAGAGAGCGGCCTTTGACTGGTAATTATGCAGCGGTTTGTCAGATGCGTTTGTGTAATTGGCTCTTTCATTAACAATTCATGGGATATGGGTGATAGTAGCAGTGTTTGGTGAAAGAAGCACACTCACAAACTGCCCACTCCAAGCTGCTATAGATTCTAACTGAATTATGCAGCTGCTGCAATAAAAGGACGATGTGAACGCCATGCCAGAGGTATTACTCAGTCGTTCTGAGCTCATCTAGTGGCCATGCTTATTCTACACATTTGTTGAGCTCCTGATGAGAGATTTTTTTCTGTTCACTGTTGAATTGTTTCTCAGATGGTCACACAAGAAGGTATTTGTGAAAAAGGAAAAGGTTGTTTTTTTTACATCCACAAGTAAACAGCTTCTTAGAACACCACGAATCAAATAGGTTTTCATTCAATTTGAAATGAGTCTCTTTCGTTTTTCTGCAGATGGCCAAGATGCAACCATTTAAAAGTAATAATAACCCAGATTAGTAGTTTTCTCCAAGTACTGAAGCCACCGACATGATTACGTAGACACGCCATTGGGCGCTGGAGAGCATAACAGCATCGCCGCCGTATTGGATGGGTTCCTCACTCTCCAAACCCAACTGGAGTCAATGCAGGGTGGGCAAATATGCCCAATTGAGTGCAGCCTATGGTTGCAACAACCGGCGCACTATTGAAAACAGATTACATGGGATTACTATTGACTTTTCTAGCCTACCTGTTTGGAATTTGTATTTTATTTTATTTCATTTTATTTTATTTTTTATTAGATTCATATTTTAACTATTATGCCATAGCACATGCCTGATTTTGTGAAAAAAACCATCATAAAATGTGTTTTTTTGTTGTTTTGTTTTTTGTTGGTTAAACACCTTCGTCAGTGGAAATAAATGCACTGGGGGTAAATAGAGACCCATCCAATATGGCGGCCTGCTGCTACGCCAGCTCCAATAGGGAGCCTAAGTCACTTCCGCATCATGGGGCCACAGAAGAACAAAAAAATGAATGCAAGTCAACGGGGCTAAAACGCTATTTTCTAATTTGCTTTGCCTTACGCCAGGGGTCCTCAATTATAATGGTCCGAGGGCCACACACACAAAACGACCCAGAAGCAAGAGGGCCGGGGGGGGGGGGGGGGGGGGGGGGTGCACATAACACACAAGCTTGCAATATAAAGCAGGACAACACATGTCCCCCTCCAGCTCGGCTGTGTGACGGCACTAACCTGTCCTGTGTGACCCTCACCATGTGACCCTCATGTCCATGCTGTCTCTGGAGGAGCAGATAGGAGACAAGATCTCCTGTAACTTAAAATGAACCAAAGCTTCCTCCCACTTTCTCTTTAAGCTGAATTTAACATCAGTTTATCTTCATGAAACAAAAGAATAAAGTGGAACAAGAACTTCTATCTTCTGTTTCTCTCTCCTTTTAACTTCTCCGTGTCCCTAAATTAAAGAGACAGATGATCACACTGCAGCCGCCGTCACTGACCCCGCTCCCTCCCCAAGACCGGATCTCCCGACATCACAGCACTCAGTCTGACTGAGCGCTTCCAGGAGAAACAAAAATGACATTATGAAAATAATAACGTGTTTGGAGGAGCGTCCTCCGATCCTCTCTCTTGTGTGAGCAGACAATCTCCCTCTCTCCCTCTCTGTCTCAGTCGCTGATCGAGTGAGCGGAGCGCGCAGCGCGACAACCCGCTCGATTAACGTAATTCACGGCTCAAATCCAACAGAACCGATCGGGCTGATTTGGTTCAGGTTCGGTCTCAGGTTATAACTCCAGTGCTCGCCCTGCAGTACCACATTAAGGCGGACCAAAGTTTCCCGGTAAATGTGAGAACACCGCTCTGACAGATGTGGATGCTACGCTGGTGCCGCCGTTAAAATAACAAAGCTACATTCCACTATAGTTGGTTATGGTACTCTTCTATGATGTAAAACCGTTTATGCCCACATCTCGTGCATTGACTATTTAATTATTTAAATCAGCTCTATCCTACACCTCCCGGTCGGCCGTCGGGGGTGAGGGTGGGGGGGTGCGCGGGGTTTGGGGGCCACAAAGAGAGGGCCGCCATTTGAGGACCACTGCCTTGCGCCCTGGATCACACACATGTTGTACTGCAATTTAACTGAAAACTAATGATGTGTGTTTCGACCACGCCAGTCACGTACTTTGAGATTTATCAGCTTGTAAAAGTTCGTAATTAGCACAACTACAAACCAGAAATCGTCACGTTGCATATGTGACATCACCACAGAATCTCCTCTCCCCAAAGTAGCTGCTACTTACCAAATGACCGGATTTATGGTGGTTCTTTCCTCCTGTGGGAAGTTTGCTGAACTTACAGCCATTTTCCCTCCGATTTCTCCGTGTCTGGTTCGATGACGTCACTTCCGTGAAGCGCATTTGTAGTCCTGGACTTGTTTTCACACAAAACCTAAAATATCATTCCCCCTGTTCGAAAATAAGCGCTTTCTTGGTATAAAAATGTGTCTTTAAAATTCACGGACATCATACGTGAAATCCATGGCACAACACAAGCGGAATTAGAAAATTGTGGTTTTAACCCGTTGACTTTTCATTTTTTCATTCTTCCGGGGACTCGTGGTCTAGAAGTGACTTAGGCTCCAATAGGGAGCGCCAGCCCAGTTGATATCTGTGAAGCTAAATGTTGTTTCCTGTTTTTGTTGTGGCTACAGCGCCACATACAGGCCTGGCATGGCTACTACATTGAGGCCGTCCGCGTGTAAATGAAGATTCTAGAAATAATGAGCATATATTCACAAATAAAAGAAAATGACGATAATTGTGTCCGTTCCTAGGTTCTGGACACCCCGCCCCCTCACCATTCGGCCCCTCCCCCCATCCCAGCGGCTTCCTGCCTCCCAGCCATTTGGCAGGTAAGTGTAAGTAACAGCATGTTTACATTTTATTTATTCATTTATTTCCTCTATCTCTTCATGTATTCCTCCCTCACTCTCCCAACTTAGCATTTATGCTTCAAATGCAGTAAAAGCAGCCGGGTTGTAACTTGAAGCGTAGATATTAATAGTTCAGACCTCAGGTTCATTTCAAGGTTAATATAGAATCCAGTCGGTCACAACCAGCCGCAGCACTTCTCAGGCTAACTTGTGGAGCTCTTCTGCAATCAGCCAGAATGAGTCACAGTAGAATCTGAAATAACTCTGTCTGGGCTTATTAAAGAAAAGACGGAGCCTCCAGAACCAGATGTCGCCCTTCATTTCTTTGAACTAGCTAAATGCAGCACAGCATCACACATGGCTTTAATTCCTCGAGCCTGTAAAATAAACTTTGTCTTTTATGGGCGCGTATTAGAGTCCCGTTTGAAAAGATGTATTTTTATTTTATTCTTTTATTTGATTTGTTTTCCTCGGGTACGAAGTAGCAAACCGATTTTATGGAGTTAAACTGGAGACTTCATCAATTTAATGCTTAAAAATGAAATGAAGGAAGAATTAGTGCATAAAAACATCCCATCCTGAGAGTTTATGTTAGAGGCGGTGGAGATTTTTTTATTGCCTTTCTAAAACACATTAACAAACCCCAGAGCTTAAAAAAAAATCCTCCAACACTAATCTTTTAATAAGTTCTGCATTTCCTGGCGGAATAATAATAATTAAAATAAGCTGATGAATGTACTTCATGTTTTCCTGTATATTTGGAGCCTGCTGTCTGCTGCAGTCAAACCCATCAGTCACCAAATTTCCAGTTCAGTCAACATAATTCAGACAGCCCATTATTGCCCCTCCCTGCACCAGTCAATGTTCAGCTCTGCTCCAGGAACTCAAAACTCCTTTTGTTTTTTGGGTTTGTTGTTTTTTGCAGGGAGCTTGCAGAGTCAGACACGCTCGGGTTTAGCTAGTAGCATGGATTCCAGGCTTCTGGTTTAGCACTACCCAGCAGAGACAGGATGGCAGCGCAAAAAATGTTGCGATCTACAGAAATAACTCGCTTGTAAGAGAAAAGCGGAGTGAAACGGGTTGGTGTTGGGGTGAGTCCTGCTAACCAGCTCCCCCCATTTGCTAATCCCTGTTTGGCATTTTGCAGATCCTTTCAGTCGCTCCAGTTCCTATGGCGGCCTCGGCAACCTTTCAAGCAGTGCCTTCGGAGGATTAGGCAACCCCTCGCTTGGTAAGCGCTGGCCCCCTCTCCTCCTCCACTGGCCCCCCTTTCAGCCTGGCCCCCCGTGGCCCGTAAGAGCACAGAGCAGGACAGCAACGTTAGACCACAGGGAGAGTAAAGAGAGGGAAAAAAGACGCTTAGCTCGAGTTTATATGTCAAACCAGCACTAGTCCAGGGAGGCCAAACAAAGCAGCTCAGCACAGCAAACCTCCACCCTGCCTCCACTTCATCCACCACTGATGCTTCCAACAGCCCTGCTTTAATCTGACAGCCCTGCTGCCAACAGGCACTCGTAGGTCTGCTGTTTGGTGGCAATTCATCTATTAATTATTTGACAACCCCCTTCTGCATCTCCATGGAGGGTTTTCTCTTCTCCCTCTGCATCCCTCTCTCTATGCCTTCATCTCTTTCTCCTCATCCCTCCTGTTTTTGTGCACCAAATCAGTCACCCTGTTGTGCAAAAGGATGTGATTGGAGTAGACGTGCTGTGGAATGCTGAGGTTTCCCTTGGCTTTTCACAGCTCTCAGCTCCAGAGGGCAACTAAGTCTCCCTTGTTCATCCAGTGCAGAAAATGGAGGGAAGGGGAGGGAGCCTTTCAGTCTAAAAGCAAATGAGTAGGTTTTTTTTCCTGTGTCGGGGGGAGCCATTAACCTCTAACTCTTTCAAACAGCTTCTGTGTGAAAGCCTCCAGAGACAAAGACAACCGCAGCTTTTGTTTTCGAGTCTTTCTCATCTCACGTGTCTTGAAGATGGTTTTGTGCCCAATTAACTTAGAGTGGGTCCCATGCCTGCCTGCTTTTCTCCTTCAGGGTCCAACAGTGTGTTTGGCTCCAAGGAGGGGCCAGGAGGACTGCCCATGTTTGGCAGCCCCCACCACGACACCTGGAATAGGCTTCGACGCACACCGCCGTCATTCCCTACCCCACCACAGTGGCCCAAAACGGCAGACGTCGAGAGAAGCGGCTCCGCCAACAGCCATGACAGAGACAGAGAGCGGGAGAAGAGAGATTCCTCCGTCGGTAAAGATGAAAAGGATAAAGACCGGTAAGCACAACTCTTTTTTGTTCTCTGCCATCCTTAACCTTTTCAAGTGTTTTTTCTACCCAGCAATTTGCTAGTTGTACGAGAACCATTGTAGAGGATGGCCGATGACTTAAAGTAACAGTTATTCTACAAATATCAGATCCTCTGTCCGTGGCTTTGCTGTAGATTTAAACGTGAAACACCCTCTTAAATGAATAATAGCTAAACAAATTTGTGATGTCATTACAGAGATTCTGTGGATCGCAACCGCCACTCCAACCGTTCATCTCCCGCCTCGGCACCCGTCAGCTACCAGATCAGCAGCCTCATCCGATCAAACAGCCAGAACTCCAGTGATTCGGGTCGACATCACAGTGGCAGCGTAGACCGGGTTCGGGAGGTGGAGAAGGAGCTGCTGGAGCGCCAAAGAGAGTCCTCCGGGCAAGCTGATGTGAAGGTGAAGGAGAGCCGCTCGCCAGGCAAGGAGATGCTGGAGAGGCGACCCTCGGAGGACTCCATCAAACCGGCTCACCGCTCTCCGTCTCCCTACTCCAAGGTGATGATCAATGAGCAGGGCATGAAGATGTCGGGTGGCCTTTCATCCTCACTCAAGGACAGTGAGAGGAAAGAGCCCCCTCCTACAGAGTTCCTCCACAAAGTAAAAAATGACATGAAGATTAAGGAGGAAAGAAAAGAGGAGCAGGAGGTCATGTTGGTGAGTTCAGAGCCAGCACCCCACCCACCTCCCCAGGCACTTCCTGCACCTGTCAGTCAACCCATCAACCCCCACCACAACCATCCTCCCCTCTCCCAGCAGCCCCCTCTCCCCTCATCCCGTGGCACTGATATTCCTGCGCCTGGCCTGCACGGTGTCCCTATGTCTCACTCTCTTCCACTTTCAATGAGCGCCATGCCCCAAATGGGCAGCCTCAATGTGCTGGACAGGGCTCGTATGGCTCCCTTCATGGGCGTGAGCCCGCTGGCAGGAAGGGAACGTCTGCCACACACGGCTTTTCCTTGGGACCCCCTCAGAGAGGCCTACCGCAGCCTGGACCTGCAGCGGCGCATGGACTTCCAGCTCAGGGCTGAGCAGGGACATCGCTTCCCCAGCATTTATGACCAGGAGCGAGCCTATCGGGAGAGGGAGGCTCACGACTACTCTCACCATGAGCACCTTTTGGAAGTGCGCAGGGAACATGAAAGGATGCGACAACAGGCAGAGGAACGAGAGCGCGTCCACCTAAGGGAGGAGCTAGACAGAGCGCGTCTCCATCAGCTGCACCAATCTCCAATAGAGGGTCACTTACCCCATATGCCCCCATTTATGCCCCACCTAGGAGGCATGCCTTACCCAAGACTTAGCCCCTCCACAGGACACAACGGCCCTCTGAACAGAACACCCCCCACTGCCGCACTAAGTGCACCCCCGCCCCTTGTACCAGCCGGCAGTGCCAGAGCAGCCTCACCCAGGAGGACTACCCCGCTCACCACCCAGGACCCAAGGGACTACTCACCATCTCGCAACCCCAAAGAAGTAGAGGCCCGGTAGCTTCTCAGAACAGTGCATAAAGTCTTAGTAGGCGCGCTCACGAGCCCCATTCCTCCTGTGTGGAACCTTGTTGTGAACAAAATGCACTGCTCTTCACCAGAGAAGGGCGAAACTCCCTCAGAGAGAGGGTGTGATTGTACAAAGTAACGGTGTGTACGGCTGACGGAGCACACACGTCATGACTGGATGTTCAACCACGTCGGTAAAGAGAACATAATTGTGTGTATGTTCATCTCCGACTTAAATATTTGATAATTATTAATATATTAACCAATACCTTTTTTTCTGCTTTGTGCTGACAAGAAAGGTCCTAAAATGAGTTTGTATATTTCCTATCCTCGTTCCATGTATAGATCTCATTTCTATGAATTTTATGTATTTTGTGCATTAGTCTCGCCTTTTACAATATTTATCCCAACTGATTGTGAGACATTTCCCTTATGATGACGTAAAGACTTGACTTTGGGTTCAGCCGTCAGTAATTTTATCTCATGGTACCAAGATATCCTCAATGATGACAATGTACAGTGCTACATTACTGACTTGTTTGTTCATTTGTTTTGCCTTTGAGATATGCAGATAAATATATATATATATATATATAAATATATAAATATATTATGAGGTATTTGTTCTGTCTCTGTAAAGAAAACCGATGTAAATAACCTGTTGATATTCTCCACTGCAAGGTTACATTGTAAATTTATTAGTCTTTTTAACCATTTCTAGAAAAAAACAAAATTAAATGAAACGTGTGGAAATATTTGCCTGTTGAAAATCATTGTAACAAACAACTGGCCAACAGATGGGAAGTACGGAGGGTGTTGTAAGGAGGCCTAGATGGATCATCTGCAATCTATGCAAAGCAGCACTCAGCACCCTAAAGAAGGAATTTCCTGGAAACAGCTGACAGTACTGGTGAACCGGAGAGAAACTTGGATTAGCACATGTTTATATGAACCAGTGAATAACGATGGGATTAAGACTTCCAAGTCAAAAACTGGACCAGCGTCAGACAGAAAAGGACGCTTTTCAGTGGACAGCAAAAGGACTTTCTCTGTCAACCTTGTGGTGTTGTGCAGTTGTTTTTCTTAGACTCTTGTATACAAAACAAGTAGAGTTTTAGGCGTGAAAAAAAGGAAAATGAACATTCATGGTTTAAAATGTACGGAATAAAGTTTGGACCTAATGTCAAATACTTCCTGCCTATTTTTCATCCAGAAGTAAATCTGTCGGTCAGCCAAACCTGCTGAGTGTCATGTGTGTTTGGATGAGATTGATACCTTTGCCGATGATGTTTGTGTGTTAGCTTTCAAAAACGCAGAATTTGTTTCTCATTCGACATCGAGTTCCTACGCAGAATCACGGAGGTAACTGACTTGGCTGGTTGAGCAGTCAAAGCCATCAGATCATTTGACCATAATCTGTCAAACACGAGCTGCAGAGCTCTCCGGGGGGGATCGATGAGATCGGGCCAGGGCAATACTGAGAGGAACTAATAGGACATCGATTTTATATGAAAGCAGATTTTGAGTGTTTGTGTTGCAGGTAACCAGTATTGACTGGCAGCCCAGTGGCGTATTGACCCGCGGTCTGGACTCATTAAGAGGAGCAATGCCTCGGAGGAAGACTATTGGGTGGTGGACAAGAGGCTTCTCTCTTACGCCTCCTCTCCTCGTGCTCACCACTCATCTGCTTTCCTAATGAGGCCGGAAGGCGCTCCGGAGTGGGCCGCAGAGGGAGTCCTGAGGTGCCCCATCCTGTTATTGACAAGACCTCGGCTGTGTTCGCCTTTCCAGAGACAGCCAATTCATCCTGATAACGCTCCAACTACTCATCTCGCTGCTCTGTGCTGTGAGGCTCACAATCCGGTCCCTTGGTAGCAGCCGATAATGACAGCGTGGATCAAACCATGGCCAGGTCATTAGGAGATGTTATTGAAAATCAATGGCGCTCCTGTGTCTCACACACTCCGGCAGGGTTTTTAAAATGGCTCCTTGAAAAGACTATTTGCCAGAATGTGGCTGGCGTATTGGGAAGGCTTAAATCACTATCACTTTCAATTTAGGCTCCTGGTAATTGAACCACATATTCCTCATGTGGGTAGCATCTGTCAGTGGCCGGCCTCACTTTAGCCTCACTTTAGCACGCCGCTCTTTTAGCTTCGGTAATACGGGGAACGACAGGTACTTAACCCTTGCGCTTGTTATTGCATAAAGATTTTTTTTTTTTTTTTTGCTGTAACTAGAATTTACCAGCCAAGCTTTGGTATAAAGAAAAACGCATCTTAAATTTCCCCTGCACTCAATCACTCTGCCCTGTGCTCTATCTATTTTACTGCTGAGTGTGGAGCGGCCCTCCACCCTTTTCACACCCTGGAGATGAAAAGCTCCATCAATTTCACTCATCGTCTGGCAAGGTCAGTTTATTTCAGCACATAGTCTATCATCAGATGGGAATCAATTGACACATTGCCTTGCATATCCAACCAAAGGTGGATCAGAGTCTTTACAATTGCCAATTTCATTTACTGTTAGGGGATTTTTTAAATCTTTTTTTTTTTGTCTTTTAAAGAACATTTCTGATTCAATTTTTATACGTGTACTTTTATTTTATTATTTTACAATTTTCTTTTTTGTGCAGCATTGTTACCCTGACAGGATTTATGTTTCAGCATCTTGCAGATTTTGTTACACGTATTTATTTGACATTTTCACACATTTTTACTTTAATCCCAATTAATAGGATATGGCGATATTTGAGGTAAGACATTGTTGAATTGTTTCACTAATCCTCTTCATTTATCAGAGAGAAACCTCAATGCTGAGGGTTTGGGATTGAATTTTCATGGTCTCAAAAACCCCCAAAAAGCTCTTGGCACAGAGCTCACCCCTGATTCAGTGAGCGGTGGAACCGGCCAATGGGACTTTATCACAGCACAATGGCAGCTAATAACACAGTGCCAGGCTAATAGGATGGGCAAGAAATGAATGGTTCAGTCCAAGCTCCTTTTCTCTTTTGCTCCCTCTTTCCCCCACTGATAAAACATGTATGAAAGCATTTCTGAGCCGCTATGTAGTGGCTCCCTCGATTTCTCTCCCCAGCGAGAGTTAATGCATTAGTTCTCATTTGAAGGCTGTTTTGAAATGGAAATTGGTAATGAGACAGGGGGCCCCTGCCATGATCACATTTGGATTGCTGGGGTCTTTGCCGTGCCTGGTGATTTGGGAGCCCGTGGCTCCGCTCAGAGTTCAAGCCTATATCTCTGCGGGGGTTAGCAGACCCTGACGAGAGCCATTCCGAACCACTAAACTATATCTGAGCAGAGTGAATTTAGCGAGAGCGCACCAAGTCAAGGGCTCTGGCAGTAGATCGCTTTCGCAGCTCTCTTTGTAGAGTGCGTGTTGTTTTGACCTCCTAAAAAGGCTAGCAGCACACATCCTTCATGTTGCCATCTTTTTTTAGCCCTTAATGTCAACAGAGCAGCAGCTGACAGAAGCCAGGACCATCACCGGTTAAGAAGCTGACTTGGAAACGTCTAAATGGTGTGAATTCCAGACCCTGATGACAAAGTGCTGTCTAATGTCTTTGCACCTCTGGACCGATGACAAATATTTCAGCTCTCACACCACCATCACGATTGCTGTGCAGGGAGTAGAGCCAGCAGCTGAGCAGAAGGAATATACTGTATACGGCTCACAGAGGAACCTTAGACAGCAAAGCAGACAGGCGGGAGCGGAGGAGAATTGAGACAGATGGAAAGGAAAGAGGTCCAGAGCAGCCACTAGCCAAAAGAAGTTTTCCACTTCGATTGAATTTTGAGGATTTTTCCAGCCTTTAGTGGAACCTCACAATCAACCACACTGGCCATATTATGAACACAAGCCATCAAAAATGAATAACATTTATGCAGCTGGGTGCATCTGGCAGTGATAGTCTTCTCATTCAGGGACACACAGGATGGCACCAAACCACCACACCGCCCTCTCTCCTCCATGTAAAGACACCAGACAAGAGGAGACTGGAGAAAAGGGTGGGCGGTGTAAAATGAGGCTCTCGAACGCTTTGTACAGGTTTTTTTTTCCTTAAGAACGAGAAAATTTTCAAGGCGAATGCAAGCCATACACAGCCTGTCCAATTTGGCTCAGCCACTGCTCATGATTAGCCATAGAGACGTTAATCAAAAGTGGCTCAGCATTTGAAGGGGCGGCGAGATCCACTGCCAGCTGGTGACAACATGGCTTGTGTGCACGGGCCAAGAGTGAAGTTTATTTGAACACGGATCTTGCCGTGACCGTTTTTCTCCAGAGCTCACTCAGCAGAGCGTTCCTGGCTCATCACCGGGATCGCCTCAGAGCCGTTGGCACCCGGGAATACGGAAGTTCTTCCAACCCACAGAGTGGGATTTACAATCGTGTCCATCCCCTTTGGTGGAGCAGACATGCTCATGAGCTTTGAGTCGGTTTGAAACTGGCAACGACGCACACCTACTGCAGCTCCTCGGATCCTAGTGACACTTCCTGTCCAATATGAAATTAGGGAATTTACAACCTATGACAGCAACACGTTTAAAAACAAACACATGTACAACCACTACTACGGCTATGGTGCCTAAATACCCCACCAATCCAAGACCTGTGAGATCACAAAATAACACAGCACATACATACATATACACAGGGGCGGATTTAGGACTGAAGAAGATCCGGGGCTTAACACACATGCGCGCGCACACACACACACACGCGTGCGCACACACGTGACACGCACTAGTCAACATCATATATGTCTTGTACCACATAATTTTTAATCTGAAGCTACATATTAAGCATTTTCAGGGCAGGGTATTGTTCCTGTTAGTGTTTAGTGTGAGATGATAGTAAATATTCCCTTTCTTTCTCCATCAACTTTACCTGATAGTAAGCTAACTTTAGGCAAACCAGCAGCACAACAAATATTTTCAAATAAGACTCACAAACCTGAGTCACCACCAGTCTCATCAAAGCTGGGGTTCTGTCGTGGTACTTTTGGTCTAAAAAACGTCCTTATGTCCATCTTCACTCATGTGTTTCAGACAGAGAGTGTAGAAGAAGCCGGCTGCTGAAGGGCTTCTTCTTCAGTGGTGGAGGCTCAGGCAGGCTGTATACAAACTACTGCCAGCTGCTCCCTCTCTGTTGGACTTTGGTACTGCATGTTACTTCCGCAATTTAGATCCGGGGCTTTTCATAAAACATCCGGGCTTCAGCCCAAGTAGCCGGGCCTAACGCCGCCCCCACATATACATATTGAACAAACATCTTCCCCTGCACCATTCATTTCTGTTCGACTTGTACACACACCGCATAAAGACTCCGTTTTAGCTCGTTTCTCCTTCAGAAGGAGCCTGCCTGTTCAGATGATTGGTCAAAAGTGATGGTGCGTGGAGCAGCTGCTCGTTTTCGTGTTTGTTTGAAGTGAGCCCAGCTAACCACAAGGCAGACGCTGTGTCCTATGTGGTGATGCTGATCTGCAGCAGAGGAAAAGTCTGCACAAACTCACACCAAGTGTTTCTGGATGTTTCCTTTCCTGGAGAAAATAATTCATTTAGATGTTGAGTTTTTGTAACTCTGTGCACCTTCAACACCTGTCAACAAATCTGTCTTTGAACTGCTCGTTTGCACTCAGCCTGTTCCTGAGTTTATTACTCATTAATGGCACCTGGCATCCTTTCAACACAAGAGGCTGCTGTGCACAGAGGCCACTGGTTATTCTGCATTCATGTCATCGATAAGTTATAAGTTTCACTCAAGAGAAAAAAGATAAAATAAAGGAAGCTTTATTAAGGTGGAAAAGGGCAGAGGGATCACATTCCTCATGAGACTGGCTCTAGCAGAGCTTCCCAGCGTTCCAAGCCTGAGTTTGCCCCCACCTCTTGTGCTTCTTTGGAAATTTGTCTGGCAGCAAACATGCTTTGAAAGGCTCTTATCTTTTATCTAGGCAGGAGTTCTATACACCGTGATAAGAAGCCATATCTTATCTGGCTGTGTTCGTTAATGTCACAGCTTGTTCAAGGGGCTTGTAGGCCGGATTGTTTGCAGATTAGTCCACGCAGTTCTCTGGAGAACTTGGTGCAAGATGCTTGTGTCGTCGTCTCAGGCATGTTGTTTTGATGTGTTTAGGCTGCATCCTCACCCATTTTCCAGGGAGCACGGCTGAAGT